CCATTCAAGCAGAGGCGGGGAGCTCTGCTGGAAAGAGGGGGAACTTCTGCTACTGCTGTCGTTGCAAAAGTCCTGTATTTAGAATTTCAGAAACACTACTCAAGATTACTTTAAAAAAATTGTGTTATTGTACTAAGAGAGAAACATGCTTTTTCATAGGAATATTTGCAATCCAGCACCACTGATATGTAGAGAAATGAGGTACAAACATGCAACACAGGAAATTTCTCTGATGCTGGAGACAAATTACTCAAAATTTCTGTCACTGAGCTAAGGCGGTATTATGTGCAAGACTATTCAGCAAAGCATTGAAGTCAGGCTGCCACACTGTTACTCCAAGTGGAGAATATCTTGCTGCACCAAGGAGGTGAAGTGACTTCTTCGATATTGAGGATGTTTGTCTGCTACAGTTGGGCCCTGTCTTACAAAGAGATTCCTATTCCTTTCTCCTCCTTTGCTCTAAGTACCCATGCTTCCTCTTTGTTGCCTGACTTTTTTTTTAAATCTTCCATGCATTTCGAGCTAGGGCAGACACTATCCTTGACTAGACCAAGGCAGAAGTCTGCACATTGGATTTAACCACATCCTTCTGCTTACCTCAATATTGCACAGCAGGTTCTTCCTCCATTTTCCCTGCAGCAGGGGATTCTACTCTCTTGTTTCCACAAATTCAACTTTGTGTAAATTTTTTTATTCCCATCTTCATTGTCTGATGCTTTTTTTACTGTAACTTGTGGTTCTTCTTTGTAATGCACCCCAGATTCTACGATATCATAAAATTACAATTGAGTACTGTGTGTACAGAGCTGTGTGGCTTAACCTAGTTCCTAATGTCGTCATAATTCAGGGAAAGAAAAAGACATGACTCCAATCAGGCTATCTATGAGATCATCTTAAAAAAAAAAAACAAAACCCTCACCACAAAAAAAAAAAAAAAAAAAGATCAACCAACCCCCCCTCAAAAAAAAAAAAACCACAACAAACCACAAAAGATGACATTTCATCTAAATGCCACAACTCCAAGATCATGGGAGAACCACATCCTTCTTCCCAGGTTACAATAACAGGAATTCTGATCTAAACTCTTCAGCATAGGCCAGTCACAGCAAGACTACAAACAAGGAAAAATAAAAAAGGACTTTATAGCACACATGAAGTACCGTCACAACTTCTTTATTTCTGGATAACAAAGACCAACTCCCCATTCTGAAGGTTCAGTAACATTTAGGAAACATTTCCTTTGTGGTGTGATTCAATGGATTACACAAAATTAACTACTCTCAGTAGTCTTTATTTCCATCTTTATGCACTCACTCATCTTCAATGACACATTGGTCAAATCACCGCACTCTGTGACTCAGTCCTTTCCCAGCCCTTTTCCTCCCCACAATCGTTTTTTCTTCTGTAAATATTCAGAGCCACAGAGGAAAAGCGTGACCGCAAGACAGAGGTGGTATTACAAAGAAGAATCCCAAAGCTCCATCTGACCACAATAGTAAACCAAGAACAAATGGGTCTGGGTTTATGTTACCAGTTCTCCAGAGCCAAGAACATTTGTTCTGGTGTTGCGGAGAAGATGGCATTACAGGACTGTGTCCATGACCAGTGCCATCATAAGGTAAATACATAACTATTTAGACAGGCTGTAGTGAAACACAGACTGTTATTGAATATGCCACAAGCTTTCTATTGTATTCTTTTCTCTCTTTTAAGAAAACAACTTCCATTTAAATAATAACCATTGATTCAACTCTTCCTCAATAAATTATCTATGGAGCCTCTTGTATGAAAGCCACACAAGACAGTGTCCACCCCGGCCTTGGACTTTTCCCAGGTAAAAAAAAAAAAATAAAAAAAAAATATTGCAGCTCCTGGATGATGTGCATTGTCAAACCCAGCTTTTCTGCGTGACCTTAAAACACATTCCAGTAGAACTCTCTCTTCTGAGAGATTTATCAGTTATAGGAAACTACCTACCTTCCCTTTACCCCAGGCAGGGTGAGGAAGTTACCTTTCCGATATTATGCACATTCCTCATGGATGAAACACCTTTTTGTGTCCATTTAAACACCCAGCAAACTCAAATCCTTTTGCCTCAGTCTGAAGGGGAATGGACACAACAACAGGAAAGTGCTCATTCTGTCCCAAAAGAAGAGGTGGCTCACCCATGTGAGAATAAGACCAAAGGAATACAAAAAACTTAAAAAAAAAAAAATCCACACTCAAGTAGAAGAGCAGACTGAATCTAGCGACTCCTGCAGGTCACTAACGTAATCACAGGGCAGCCGCAGAGACTTTCTCCACCTTGAATGGAAGGGAGGCTCTCATCCCAGAACTCAGGTCGCTCCTCCTCAGGCTGTTTCCTGGGAGGAAGTGTCAATACTATTATTAAACTGAGGGTCAGAGGTACCACAATGATGCCTCTTCCCCAAAGAAGTCACCATTCATACACTTCACTTATTAAAGACAAAAATTCATTTTTAAAAAAAGCTAAAATATTAATAGGATATTCCATAAATATATATTTTTAAAAATATATCTGTAAATTGCAGTTGTGTCACTAGTATCTAACTCCTGATTGAAGAAGAGACCTTGTACAATAAGATGTACAAACTTACGTGTCCAGAATTTGTAAAAACGGAATCAAAGTTTTCAAGCGTAAGTTTGGGTAGCTTATAAATAGGTCTCCTTGAAACAGATTTAACCTTAAAACATTGAGTATTCAGGAAAGTCTGAGGATTGTAGCCAACTAAAGGTATTGTTTGAGATATCTACTAGTCTGGCAGCTTAACAATTTCTCTTCATTAAAGATTTAAAAATGCAGGACATACTTACCTAAAAATTGATAGACTTATCAGTAAGGCAGTTAGAGGACTTGCTCTTTAAATCACTAAGCCACTTACCACAAGCTCTTCAACAGGTATAATGAAGTTTTCCCAACCTCTTTTATGCCGTATGATACTTATAACATCAACTCACACTTTTTTTTTTTTTAACATGATGAAGACACTGACATAAACAGCTAACTACTAGTATTGAGTCTTGTGCTCAAATTCAGCATTCCAGACAAAACTTGGAATGTTTGAAATATCTCTCTGAAGCACCAGCTCATTTGCAAGAGATTTACCACCAACAAAACTGATCCCGCTGGTCTTAAAACTGGTGTGTCTACAAGATCCCAAAAGATTTTGCAGTCTCTTTCAGACAAGAATAAAAGGTTTGTTTCTTGCATGTGGCAAGGGTTACTGAAGTATTTGGCTCTGTCAGAATAGTAAGCAAAGCCAAAGGAAGACTTCTGCCAAAAATAGAAAAAGAATTCTCTATGCTGGAAATATGAAAGTCCTTTTTAAAAAAAAACTACACACACCTTAAAAGCACTAACTTCATAGAATTTGAAATCAGAGATTTTCCCCAAGTGAAGTTATCTGTCACGCTCTTAGAATTAAAAGGGTTTACCAACTTTTACCTAAGGCAGCCTGTTCATGATGCATCCAGGGGGTATCTGAGGCTTGACATGAAGTAAACCTTTCAATGACAGTATATAAAAGAAATCCTTTTGTAATTATTAGTAGCACTTCAGAGCTTAATTTTCTAGTAGCTACCAACAAAGGTTGAAAGGGATGTTTAAGAACTTTAAACCACGATATAGCAGAATTTTAGCTAAAAAAAGTATATGTTATTTATAATGTAGCTAATTGCTTTTCTTTTCTGAGGTTCCAAACGCCTCTATCTTCCCCCAAAGCCACCAAAGAACCACCCTCACTTGCCTCCTCACACTAGTTTTGGACAAATCACAAGGAAACCAGTATTCTGATACACTGAACATTTATTGTCTTTCACAAGACAAAATTAAGTTTCCCCAGACGATGAAAAGCCATTAAGATGACCATAAAGGGGACAGGGTGCAAAACTCCAGTGTACAGTATATGCAACAAATTACCTGACTACCCTGGAAGAATGATTGATCAATCTCACTGCAACTAAAAAACAGGATTATAAAATATTTACAGAAAAGAACAGTACAGAAAATAAAAACTGGACAACCATATGCGTATGAAATGCTGTTAACACTTTTCCGTCTCCTTAAAAAAACCCTGTTCCACTACCCTCACCATTCAGGATGTGCAAGGATTCAGGCAGAGCATAGTAACCCTCTGCTCCTACATCCCTCTTCCCCAGAGCACCAGTATCTCCCTCCAAGGAAGGGGGAGGACTCCAGCAAAGCAGCATCACCTTCTTTACTGTAATTTCCTTCCACTAAGTGGACATGTAAGCTCTGGAAGGAAGTCTCCAGCCACATCTCCCCTGCACCAGTCTCTATTTGGAGCACACTGGCAAGTTAACCTGTGGGTAGGGAGTCATTCCCTGTCATATGAGCCCTTTCATTGCTTCCAGGAGTACCTTTCCTTCTCATCCCTGCATCACAGTGGTCTCATCTGTGTTCGGAGGGGTAGGAAAGCTGATTAAGACTACAACAGGTCACAGGAGGCCTTCCATTTCCTTCATGAAGGCTTCGTACACGTCATCCTTTGTCTGTACAGAGATAGGGGCAGATGATCCAGCCTTGGGGGCAGCTTTGGTTAATGGGAGAGCAGGCTCATCATCCTGTTTTCTCTGGGAGGCAGCCGAAGCTCCTTTATTCTCCCGTCGCACTCGCAAGGCAGTGGGCACAAAGCGAGTGATCTCTGCCTTGGGGTTAGTGATCTGCGGCTTGGCACTGATCGTGGCCGTAGCTTTCTTCTCGATGGTGGCCGCACTGGTGTCATCCGCCTTGGGGCGCTGAATCAAGCTGGGCGGGGCACTCAGGACCCCAGGATTTGGAATGGGCGCTGGCGGGAAGAGCCCAGGCGGGGCAGGTCCTAAAGGAGGCACTAGAGGTGGCCGTAACATGCCTGGGCGAGGAGGAGGGATACCTGTATGAGGAAAAGAAAGCGTGAGCTCACTCGACACCTGGGAGTCTTTAAAACTTTGGTCAAAGAAACTGCACAGGCTTAGAAAGCCAAAAAGGAAAAATAAAAACAAACAAAGATGAAGCAGCAGAGTCTTTAAAAAAAAAAAAAAAGAAGTTTTCAACTCTGCACCAAATGCTGAGTTGAATGTGTTGCTGATCTTCAGATTTTGAAAGGTCCAAGAACCTGTGTATTTCTCCCTTTAAAATTATAATCTGAAAATAAAGATTCTTGATGATGCCATTTTAGAGTCATCAGAAATGTATTACCATACAGGAAAAAAATCAAACCAAACCTATCTCAAATTCATTAAGTGGAGCACCACTATAGCACCTTGGGGTTTTTCAGAAACAGTCCAGCAGAAGTTTAAACTCCAAAATCACCTTTTTGAGGACAGATTTCTTGCTACCAAAGTACACACAGCAGTACACAATTACTTCCTTGTTACTCTGCAGATAGAACGCAATGCAGCCACACAGACAGGAACAAAGGCAAACCAGTAGCCACTTGCATTTCCTGGCTTGGTCATCACAGTAAAAACTGGGAAAAAGTAGGGAGAGACTTGGAGCTGAAGCAAACAGAACACCCTACCTGGTGGGGCGGGAGGAGGCAGGCGAGGAGGCGGCCCACGTGGAGGAGGACCTGGAGGCAGACCTGGTGGGGGGCCTGGAGGAGGGCCAGGTGGTCGGCCAGGTGGAGGGCCGGGTGGCAGAAGTCGAGGTAAAGGCCCACGTAGTCCTGGTAAGCCAGGAGGTCTCAGGAACGGAGGAGCTCCTGAAAGCATGCATCCAAATAAAGAGAAGTTTAGTTAATGCTTAAGAAAACCCAAAACTATCTCATCAGCTAATACTAAAGATCCTGAAAAGAACCTGAAAGCTCTTCTTATGCTAGCCAGCTGCCAGATTAAACAAACATTTTATACCAAAAAAAAAAAATCTCAAAAAACGGCAGTACATCTTAGGGGAAAGTTTCTTCACAACAGTCAATTACTTTCTCACTTGTGAAAAGGGCTCTTCCCCATGTAATGAAACAATATCAGAAAACAGCTACTGAACTGAGGTTGTCAGAATTTAAACAGCTAATACTGAAAAAAACCCAAAGAGCCACAAAAACCCACACACACTACCAAAGTTTCTAACTATATAGTGGCTCCTGAACCTCTTCAGCATGTCTTCTTTGGGGTAGGGAATGAGGGGGAACAACAGAATTTTAAAAAAAAGTATAAAATCCAGCAAATAGTAGAGAGGCACATGGCAGCAGGCCTTGTTATTCACACTCAAACACCAGCTTCGCTGCTGTCAGTGTCAGCCCACATCCATCAGTCTGACTACAACTACAGGAGCCTGATGCCTCAAAAAGCCCAGCAGAGCAACAACGGACTGACCAGAGAAGAGATAACAGTCCCAGCAAGTACCACACCGGGCTCCTGGTACCTAACCTGCACCACATTCTGCAGCTTTAGAGCTCCCAATCCGATATATTTTCATAATCGTTGAATCGTTTAAGTTGGAAAAGACCTTTAAGATCATCAAGTCTGACTGTTACCCTAGCAATGCCAAGTCCACTGCTAAACTATGTCCCTAAGCAACACATGTACACATCTTTTAAATAAAAAGACCTTTAAGATCATCAAGTCTGACTGTTACCCTAGTTTAGCAGTGGACTTGGCATTGCTATGTCCCTAAGCAACACATGTACACATCTTTTAAATACCTCCAGGGATGGCGACTCTACCACTTCCCTGGGCAGCCTGTTCTAGTGCTTAACAACTCTTGCAGTGAAGAAATTTTTAATATTCACCTTCAGGATTGTGTTCTGTTTTGGGCAACTCAGTATAGGAGAGATATTGAGGTCTTGCACCAAGTGCAGAAGAGGGCAACAAGGCTGGTGAAGGGCCTGGAGAATAATTCTTAGGAGAAGCAACTGAGGGAGCTGGAACTGTTTAGTTTGACAAAGAAGAGAATGAGGGGGGACCTCATCATGCTCTACAATTCCTTGAAAGGACATTGTAGAGAGGTTGGTGCTGGTCTCTTCTCACAGGTAATTCGGGACAGAACCAGGGGGAATGGTTGCAAGTTGCAACAGGGCAAGTTTAGGCTGGACATTAGGAAGAAATTCTTCACGGAAAGAGGGTGGTTGAGTCACCATCCCTGGATGTGTTTAAGTGTTGCTTAGATGTGGTGTTGGGTGATATGGTTTAGGGGTGAACTTGTAGTGTAGGGTTAATGGTTGGACTCGATGATCCCAAGGGTCTTTTCCAACCTGAATTGTTCTATGATTCCATGAATTTCAACCTCCCCTGGTACAACCCGAGCCCATTTCTTCTTGTCCTATGGTTGAGTCACCATCCCTGGATGTGTTTAAGTGTTGCTTAGATGTGGTGTTGGGTGATATGGTTTAGGGGTGAACTTGTAGTGTAGGGTTAATGGTTGGACTCGATGATCCCAAGGGTCTTTTCCAACCTGAATTGTTCTATGATTCCATGAATTTCAACCTCCCCTGGTACAACCCGAGCCCATTTCTTCTTGTCCTACACTGCTTATTACTTGGGAGAAGTGACAGATCCTGACCTCACCACAATCCCTTGCCACATAGTTGTAGAGAGCAATAAGGTCTCCCCAGAGCCTCCTTTTCCCCAGACTAAACAAACCCAGTTTCTTCAGCCACTTCTCACAGGACTTGCTCTCTAGACCCTTCAGCAGCTTCTCTGAACATGCTCGAGCGCTTCAGTGTCTTTCTTGTAGTGAGGAGCCCAAAACTGAACACAAGATCCAGGCTGTGGCCTCACCAGTGCTGACTACAGTGGGACAATCCCCTTCCTGGTCCTGCTGGCCACACTAGTTCTGATACGAGCCAACATGTTATACTGAGAGCCTGCATCCTTCAGAACAGAGTAAACCACGTGTTCACCTGGTGGAGGGCCAGGAGGAAGGCCAGTGGGGGGGCCTGGAGGTCTCAGTGGAGGGGCCGGAGGTGGTCCTAGCGGAGGTGGTCCAGGCATAGGAGGTGCCTGTATCTGTGTTGGAGGAACTGGCTGTGGAGGCGGTTGCTGCTGCTGTGTCTGGGAAGTCGCAGTAGATGACCCAGTCTCTGCAAGAGCCTCTTCACCGAGTTGTTGCTGCTGCTGTTGCTGTGATGTCTCTTCAGACTCTGAGTCATCTTCCTCCTCCTCCTCCTCTTCTGAATATTCTTCCACTTCTCTTCCTTCTTCTGGAATTTCCTGACCTGGAAATAAGACATACTTATAAAATCAGTCCAGAGGTAATATCTTTACGAACTTCAGAGAAACCTGAGCACACACACAAAAAAAATCCTACTTGAAAGGAAACTGACTACATTTTGTTGTTAAACAAAAAAATGAAGATATCTACAAAGAAATTACAAATATCATAGTTCTAGATAGTGCTCTGTCACTACAATCTGCGTGTTCCTGTGAGAGCTGAAACTTCTACCACAACTCAAACTGCAGCTATTTCATCTATGTTTGCAGGAAGGGGAGAGAATGGGGACAGTGTGGTAGGGGAACATGGCCTCAAACATAATTCTCATGTAGAAGAAACTTATTTCTGCTAAAGGATATTTTCAGGGAGTACAAATCCTTACAAGCTACAGTCCGAGTCCATAGAAATATCACCTTTTCTTTTTCACCAAAAGGTTCATATCTCACTTGAGCAATTGTTTAATTAAGCAAAATAAAATTAAGAAAAAAAAAAACCCAGCGTACCAAAAAACTCCACCCATAGTTGCTACCATAACTTCTAATCTGCTATGCAAAAAAAGACACTAAACCAAAAATACGCTAACCACAGCTTATACACTTAGCAGATCTTGCAGTATGACCACTAACAACACCACCACCACAACACTGAAGGTAAGGCAGCATGACAACATTTAAATCTGAACCAAACTCTAAAAGGACATTAGAAAATACTGGATTCAGTAGAGACATGAAACGAGCTGTCCATTTCAATTTCCAATTATTTGGGACTCTTAAAGATCTGATACTCTCAACCCCAGGAGCTGGAATTTGAAATATCGAGGCAATTTATCAGAACGCAGTCATGTGGAGCCCCACACTGGGTGCCAATTTATTTGTCAAGAGTTAGGGCTGGGCCTGTCACTAAATGAATGACAGATGCTCTCTAATCCCTCTCCCTCCCCAAAAGAGAAGGGAAAAGAGAATAAAGCAAAGAGATTTAGGGACTGGAACAGAACATTACAACAGCTTTAATAAACATAACAGCACTAATGGAAAATAATGAAAACAATGGAATACATACAAATAAATGAAAATAATATAGGCAAATATATAAAAAACAGTAAGTGTAGAACCCAACTCCCCCCTCCAATAGCAATTTCCACTGATGTCGCAGAGCAGGCAGCACCAGGGAAGCCCCAGGCTCAGTGGCAGAGGGAAGCTGGATTTGGGAACTCAGGGTTTGGACTCAAAGGCAGAACAACAGTCAGAGTCCTCCTCAGATGCCAGCCATTGAAGAAGAGACCATAACCCCTGTTCTCCCTCATAATGCCATATACATCATATTTGATATAATTAAGAATTTCTGAAATACTTTTGATGGTCACCTGTCCTGTCTGTTCCTGCCTGGATGTGCAACCTTTTACTTTCTTGTGACCTTTTACTTCCCATCAGCCACTGTCTGCAAAAACATGCTGTCAACTTCAAAAAGTACAGCCTCTCAGAGGAGACTGAGCTCAAAAGTAAAAAAATCACTGAACAGAATCAGTTCTGTTTAGCTCAAACCAGGATATCTATAAAACAAGAACTGTGCAACTCTCAGAGACTGAGCTCAAAAGTAAAAAATCACTGAACAGAATCAGTTCTGTTTAGCTCAAACCAGGATATCTATAAAACAAGAACTGTGCAAACAAAGTAATCTTAAACCATTAGGCTTCCAGTTAAGGTTTCTCTTGTATCTCCACTTAATACGTCCATCTCGCTCACCTGCCATCCGTAACATCATGGCCTGGAGTGGAGTCAGTTCTTTCATGTTCTTTTTCTTTTTTCGTGACTTCCCAGGCATATCTGCAAACCGCACACTATGACCTGGGGAAAGCAAAGCACAGGCAAGGGTGGCAGGAGGTGGGAATAATAATAAAAAAAAAAACAAAACCAGACAGATTTAAGTCTTCTACCTGCTACAGATAATACATCATTCTAACATGATACTCCTTGCACATGAATTAACACTGGTGTTACCAACTAGTTGAAGTTTTGTCAACCTAGATTCTCTGTCAGCTGGTCTCCCCAAAGCAATTTGAAAAAAAAGATAAAATCAAAAAGCATTAGCATTATGAAATTCAGTTGTCATAGTCATTCAAGTCATTGAAGAGTGAGTAAATTTTAAGCCAATGGCTTAATTTTTGTAGGGTACCCTGCCACTTCAATTCTTCAGGTGAAAAACGCCTTGTGACCTTACTAAACTAACTCAATTGTTAAGAAAGCAGGTCCACCTAAGAAAGACGCTTCACTTTCAGATAGTTTCCCTCTGATCCATTTACTAACACAATTATTCAGCTGGAATTTAGGCAAGTTATAACAGTGTTAGCTGACTAAACAAATTACTTTCCCTCCCAGTCAGGAAAACAGACAAACTCTTAGTAGTTTCTTATTTATTTTTTTTAAATAAAATTGGAAGGAAGACGACAAACTCCTATCTGTAACTACACCCATCATACCTGATTTCTTTTCTTCACCACCTTCTCTCTCCTTATCATTATCACGATGCAGGAAGTCCTCGCTCTCACTCTCTGCATCTGACCTATCGCTGTCACTGTCGTCACTACTCTCATCATGCTTGTCTTGATCCATATCCTCAGGATAACCTTCGTCTTCACTGGTACTGGACATATCATCATCATGCCCTCGTTGTCCTGCAGGAAGCGAAGTGTTAGGAAATGTATAAACTCCAGATACTGGGGTGGAAGACAGAGCTTACAGTTAGAGAAAAGCCCCTAGCAACAGCATAGACACGTTGTCAATCCTTTACTGTTTAGCACACTCTTAAAAAGTATTTTGGTGTCTATTTATAAGATTTCCTATTAACGAGCTGGTTAGTTTGCACAGAAACCAAGTGGAGGCAACTCCTACCTACAATCCATTAGTTCATTTCTATAACATCCACCACCGAAAAGCTCCAGTGCTTCCCGGTGTGCAATAAAGCTGATCTATCCATTTCCAAAAGTTTCTAGGGAAGATATGTAACTGTGTTAAAAACGAGGACCTAGGTTCTCCTAACAAATCCACACCCAGGTTTGGATTTTTCAGGGATTGGGTATTTTTCTTAGTCATCTGTTGGGTTGTGGGGTTTTTTTTGAAATAAGGAAGGCTTCTCCAAGAAAGCCGAGGGGTTTTTTTCCTGCTTTTTGTTTGTTTTTGATGTGTTTTTTTTTTAAAAGAGTAATAAAATATTTCAGCCTTTTTAAGACTACATGGGAAAATATTCCACCTATGCAACACAATGAAAACAAGTATCTGAAAGTTGTAGTTAGAAGCCTCAGGATTTAAAAATTCCAACTGATAACAAAACTGCAGGTATTATGAAATGTACTAGAACCACCTCAAAGGTACAATCACTTAAGAGTTGTCCTTCAAGTAGTATTACCATCCATATTGCCAAAGAACACCGTGCCTAGGGCACAATGTTCACAACAGCACTACCCACAGCAAAGCAGAGAGGTCACGGAATACCCCAGACAGTAATAGGAAAATCTTTACCTCCTTCAGAACTGTAAGAAATCTCCTCTTCTCGTCTTCGAGGTGCCATCTCCAAGGCGAAGCCCACTTTACGGCCATACATCTGTAGGACCTGAGGTGGGGGTGGCCCTGGAGGAGGTCCAGGGGGCTTCCTGCCTGGAGGTAAACGTGGAACACCAAGCCCAGGAGGAGGAAGTACAGAAATGGACCGAACTGGTGGTCTGAAATTAGAAAGTAAATGAGAAACACATGAACAGAAATTTAACAAAACCAAACGAGCTTAATTGAACTCTTCAGCTTTCTCTCATCATTGCTTACACAGAAGCCTCCTGAAAAGAAGCATCAACATTCATAAAGCATAGACTTGTCCCAAGGAGTTTACAACCTCAATTGAATATCAGATTAAAGTAAGCTTCTCAGAAAGCAACTAAATACTGGGGAAAAAACAAAACCCAACAAACCACCAAGGAAAAAAAACGCAGCCAGACAAGTACCGAACCCCATCATAGAAGGAATAAGTACAGTAAGAGCTTAAACTGAATATACTAGCAAGACAAAAGAACACATATAAGGCAATTTAAGGGACATTTATGTCCAACGGTGCAGCCCTTTAAGTTTTACTGATATGCAGAAAGAAGACACAGTATATCACCCATAGATCAATTTAAAAAAAAAAACTGTAAAAGTAGGGAAAAAAAAAAGATGAAGGGCTTTGATTATAAAACATACAAAATCATTCTCAGAGAACTCCCAACTTTTTCTTGTCTATACCTCTGCTTCTGCCCCTAGCTACTCTCCACTAATAAAAGTGCCTTTTTTTTTTTAACTTCCTCTTCAAGTTCGTTTTTGAGTGATCTTTGTTGTTTGGGTTTATTTGGTTGTTTGTGGGGTTTTTTGTTTTGTTTGCTTGTATTGTGAGGGTTTTTTGTATTCCTATGCTTACCCATAAGCTGATGTCTTCTTGAGAATAGAAGGTGGCTGGGCTCCTGGAAGGGGAATGTCCTGTATGAGGATGTTGGAGGGAGCATGCGGCATATCCGGTAAAGGGATACTTTCTACTTCAACATGCTGAGCATTCTGGGGAAAAAAAAAAAAAAGAGAGAACGGGTTACTTGCGCTACTCCCATAGAAGCTACTGCAGAACCTCATTACCTTTCAGAGTACGGAATACATGGGACCTGTCATCACTTGTCAAAGGTGTCTGTTCTGAGGGCACATTATCTTGCAGTAGTCTGTGAAATATGCTTAGGAAAAAGACAACAGTAAAAGCTTTCAACACAAAACAAAGTGCATGCAGTGCATCCATGAAAGGCTTTAATATTTCAGTCAAAACCCAGTCAGGCTTCCATCTCCCTTTAGATCTTCAGTTTCCAAAGTGAAGAGGCAAATATGTGTATACTTTCTAAGTATCAAAAAATCACAGGATGCTCTATATTCCAAAGGGAAAAAACCCAAATCTTACAGATACTTGCACTCGGGCAATATTACGTTCTCCAATATGGCAGGGAAGAATGCCAAAGAAAGCTCTTTAAAGATTCTCATTATTTCCAGCAACAGATCTAGCAGAAATTCACAGAAATATCAACTGCATGCTCACAGGTTCACTCTCTCTCTCTTTAACACAGAAAACAATCCTTATATTGTTGATTTGCAACTTAAGTTCCCCTTTTCCCTGTAATTTCTTGAAAAAAATCTGTGTATCAGAGACAAACAGAGACTTGGTAACCCCCATGCTACCCTCACTTACATACTATAAGTGCAGGTACTATACAAATTAAGTACTCAATATGGGCCTTCTTCATAACTGTCAAACTTAACAAGCAGATGGAGGTACATAGTATCATAGTTACAAGACTGAAATATAACGTTACCTTGACAGCATCAAAATACTGGCTGAGTTGTGATCTCTTCTGTTCATACTCCACTTCCAACTTGCGCAGCTCTTTATAGATGTCAGGATTCTCCTTCTCATAGAGCCGCAAGATGCGCTCAAAAGTCTCGCGGAGTTTCTTGCGTTTATCTTTTAGCACTTTTTCATTAAGTTGTGGCTGTTGGACTGGGTTAAACTCTAATCCAAGATAGTAAAAAAAAAAAAAAAACCACCCAAAATTCTTAAGTTAATCTGCTCCATAACTGTGAAGAACGAAACAGCTTCAAAGTAAACAATTTAAGATCCTTATTTTCAGGAAGTATTCAGCCTTACGACAATCTTCTCCTTCAATTCTAAGTCACTATCACAGACACTACTCATTCTTTATACCAGTCATCCTCTTGGGGGGGAAAAAAAAAGCCATCTCCAACTGTACCATATCAAACCATAATCAACCCTTGATCATTTCTTCTAACAAGAAAAAAAGGTTACTCTATTTTAGTCTCCCAGTTGTCCTTTAAAACTGTTATATATCTACATAAACCACCGCCTAAGTCCAACACCTGTTTTCTCTCACTCACCCATCTCATCCAACTTTTCCATGTCCCGGATAATCTGCTTTGGATCTTTCATCTTCAGTACAGCTGCTCGTACCATCATTCGTTGCTTTTTGTTCTAAGATCAGAGATCAAGGAGATCAGAAAAGTGTCACAGGAGAAAGAGACAGAACCTTTTTATCAAATAGCCCCCTCCCAGTATATAATTTTAAATTATTTAATTCTCAAGTACTTATAATAATGTTTCAAAAAGCTGTAATCATTACAAGTTCTGAAATGGCAGATGATGAGATATGGTTGCTATAAACAAGATTTCCGTCTACATTTTCTCAAACTACTTGTGTTAACAGTATTTTCTAAAGTGAATCTTTGGCTATCAGCCAAAACATCTGTATCCTATTCATCAGCCACAGCCATACAACAATCGCAAACATAATACACAGTATAGGGAATGCCAAGTAAACACTTCTGATCTCTTTATTACCTTCTTCAGCTCCCTTTTCCGAGCTTCCTTCCCTAGAAAGGAAGGGAAAAGAAAGAAAACGACAACTTGAAAGAGACAATCAAATCCAGGAAGAACTTTTCCTTCACCAAGACTAGCGCCGTTTCTCAGTTCACTCATTTTACAGAGACTGTAACGGTTTAATTCGTCTTCCCAATGAGAGAAGTACAGCACTAGATATATTTCTATTTCATGTGTGTTATACAGAAAGAAAACAAGATACAGCAGTCTCCAGAAACAGGGGTGTTTCTATACAAAAAAGAACAGAGAGCAAAAGACAGTGATGTGTGCAGCCATGGAAGAGTTGCTGTCCAGAAGCTGAAACAGAGCCAACAATGGACAATACACTCTAAAAATATGTAGAATTTATGTATCTGAAATAATGAAAACTCAGAATTTCGTGCTGAAATATGCTTTATCTGCTTAGCATTTACAACATCTGAGATGTTACCAAAAGGAAAAAAAACAGCTACTCGATCCCCTCATCTAACCAGAGCATTACAAAGTTTAACATGTTCCTCAAATTCTAGCCTCAGATAGATTAATTATTTCCCAAGAAGCAGCCTGCAGTTTTCCCAAAGACCTTTAAACACTGATAACTGCAGCAAAATCTAAGGGGTAAATACTCAGAGAAGCAGCGAGATGGAAGCAAACAACTCTCTCAGGAATTTTTTTACACCAGCCAAAACTGAGACAATATATTTCAAGTTAGGAAAAGTCACTTCTGATTCACAAGTGAGGATCTCTTCCTCAGAGAAAGCTTTTCATCTGCTCCCCTAGGACCCTCTCATCCCCATTCCCATCTGCTTCGCTTTTATAGATACTTACGGGCCTGATCTGTGGGATTCATAAACTTCCCACTCTTGGTGGATGATGTAGATCTCCGCCCCATTTTGACCTTCTTCCTTCTGCTTCAAAAAATACCCTTTAAAAAACGAGGGAGAGACCTGGAAGAGATTACATGCTTTCAGGTCCTAGGCACCAGCAGCTTGAGCATGCTTATTTCTCTTGTCTCTATCAGCAGGTTGCTGCCTCAAAAAGCTCAAATATTTGTGAGGTCCACAAGCCCTACTACAAGCTCAGCATTCACATAAAAGCCATCCCACTTTTAGTACTAAATGTCTATTTTAAATGAATCAATTAGTTCCTTATTACTCTAAGATTCAAAACAAGAGGCTTCTTGCTTACATGATGGAGAAGCACAGAAGAGGGAGAAACACACATTCTATCTTCCTAAGGGCATATCTGAGCCCTTCTAGCTCTTCCTTTACTTTCACACAAGCTTTCCAATTTTCAGTTTTACATTCCTCCCTATTTCAAATGTTCCACACACACTTCTCCCCTTCCTCAATACTTGTAAGCCACCCTTGATTTCTCTCCCCAGAACCCACTGTATCCATCAGCAAGTGTTCTGTTCACATCCATGTCATCTCACCACAGAGCACTGCCCTCAGGCTCTCTACCTCCACTCGTACTATTCCAAGCTGCATTACAAGGATCAGAGAAAGTTATTACAGAAAGAATTATTTCCTGTCTTTAGACATTTCTTCCACTAACAGACAACTACATAAATGTCCAAGCTGTATCCAGAGATGTTGCCTCTCTCGTAGCTCTAATCTCCCCCCATCCCCACCTCTACTACTCTGTCAAAACACCATTAGAAAAAGTAAATAACACCAAAAAAAACCCCTCCACCCAATAGACTCTACCCCAAAGATCTACACTCCACTCTGAAATCTGTGAGCTGACAGGATGCAGCTTTTTAGTCACCATGCCACATTCAAATAGATAACAATCAAAGCTTAAGTATTCATGTAAGTATTCAGTCCAAAGTTGCCTGCAGCCTCACTGCAGTGGCCATGCGCATTTTTCTTCCCTAATTACAGAAGATGCCACATCCAAACCACTAAACAACATCCCTCCCCTTACCCCCAAAAAGAAATTTAAGCACAGTGCATCATTTTGTGCTTCAAGGCCTCACAGAAGGGTTCCTAGCAAGCTCCAAGTGGCCACATCCAATGCACTACTACAAATCTACAGAGTTCTGCCCATGGCTTATACTCCCACAATACACTTATATTTAGCCTGCTGCTGTTTGTAAGAGCACCCCACGATTTGTGACCACCAGTAACATACATCCCAGACCACAATTACTTTATATTTTTTTGCACGACACTACCATTTCTTTAGGTGGGAAGCTCACCAAACAGAGGTAGGAGTTATATTCACACCCCGTATTTCCCACGTTTACAGGCTTACGGGAAAGAGAACAAACTTCTGAAACCTCGATTCCCTTTTTCGGACACAAAGCAAAGGGCTTCAACGCAACAAGTTACCAGTCGAAGGAGAAAAATAAATAAATTAAATTTATCACTTTTTGGCCACTGGGAAAAGAGGCAGAAAGCCTCCCACGAGGCGC